GTTTGTCGTCGAGTGAATAATGCGCATGCGTCAGTTTTTATTGGGGAAACATTCTAACTACGCATGCTTATGCAGCAGGTTCTCGGTCAGAAAGCATAACGGTCATACATACAAACAAGCAGAATAATAGTATAGATGAGCAAAGGTTAAAGCCCAGACTGGGCATATAGAACACAGAGGGCTAATGTGGTTAAAAGATCCCACTAAATAAAACAGCAAGATTACTAATGAAACTTGAGTATTAAAATTTCAATAAAATGCATTGCATTAAAAATAAAATAGAAAGAAACTGATGTTTTGTGCTGTATAATTATAATGAAGAATCATGCAAGCATTCCAAACATAATAAGTGCTGTACTGCAACAGAATAAAACCCTAATATGACAAACGGTTATCCCACAATCTTCCTTCCAAAACAACAGATTTTACTGTACTAATAGCAAATATTCAACTGAAGAGTTTCATCTAAGCAAAATAACCATAATGGCTGAATCTGTCTTAATAATACTAAGAATAATCATAACATGGTTCATACAGACCTCTGAAAATTTTTTCAATGACTTTTTTCAATTTTTCAAGTAGTTGACAATACTATTTCATTTGTTAACTACACATAATTATATATTATAGAGAGAATCACATTATAACTCTCTTTTAAAAGCATAATTTATGCATGCTTTGTATCACTGATATAGCAATAAAATCCAAAGTATTCTGGATGACAACTGGTACTACCTTTTGGTGTCCCCATGCTAATTTATCCTAGTAATGTTTGTTCTTGTTAAACTTTTTATTTTTGTAAAAACCACCCAAATAAGCAAAGAAAATAACTTTAGTAAAATTTAAAACTTTTGAATTGTTCAATGCCTCTTTGATGTAATACAAGAAGATTTTTGCAAAATTCAAAGAGTTTTTTCAAAATTCCAGGACAAAATCGACTTTGACCAAATTCAAGGAGTTTTCAAGGACCCAGCTAAACTAAATTCAAGTAATTTTCCAAGCCTGTAGGAACCATGCATAACGTACACAGTAAAATCCACTGCCACGGCATTTAATTCAAACTTGTGGAAAGGTAAAATAATTTTAAATAGCAGTTAAAGAAGCATTTTGCTCCAAACAAAAGCACTTATCAGGTCCAGAATCTGGTCACCTTGCTTTAATGAGGAGTTGTATAGTAAATTTATGAATGGCTCTACTAGTCTGTTTGTCATAAATCCATCAAGGAGTGGAACAGTAATTGGGAGTTCTATTGTGGTATGAATGGTCCCTAAAGGAAAACTGATAAAATAAAACTATAAAATTAGATAGCAATGTCCTCTGGTTTTTTTCCTCAGTTGAGGAATGGAAATAAATTCATTGTGCTGATGGATTCTTTCACTCAGTGAACGATAGATATTCTGCCACAATATATATATATATATATATAGTGAATGTTTCAAAGTTATTCAAAGAAACTTCAGAATTTAGTAAAAAGCAAGGTCATGTGACACGGAAAATTATTGAATGGTAGGGTAAAAAACGATCTACTCTTTCCAGAAAAAGAAAACATATGGGCTCTTTAAATGCTTTTGCTCTTTAACTAAAATGAAGTATTTATCAGTATTATAGCAAAAGTGAAATGTATCTGGTAATATTTACATTTAGGGAGCCTTAAAATCTTCGAGAAATTACCTATAAAGTAGTGCAACTTATGCATTTTGTCCATTGTTACAAGCTAACAATTACAGTGTATTATCATTTTACCTTTGTAACACCACATCATATTCATTACATAGACAAACACAAATACAGATAAACCAGTTTACATCACCTGACTTACAGTAATTGTTTAATATCCTCTATATTTCTTTTATTTTTTAGTGACTATTATTAACAGCATTTCTTAAGCCCTAAAAGTATGTTATATATATATATATTATCATTATTTGCAAAATATTTCTTTCCTATACTTTCTAATAATTTGTATGATTAAACATTTCATTATCTAGTTTTTCTAACATTGCATTGAAGCACATTTTGATATTTTATTATAATATTCACGCGTATATTCCTCAATTCTTTTCTCCATTTTTTAGTTTGTCTTTAATAAAATAATCTTCACTTAATTATCATCTCAAAGTATTACATTTAAAAATGTAATACAATTTATGCAACATAACTTTACACTTAATTAGAAATGCAAATGCACTATGCTGTGATAAATATTTTTTCCTATTCTATAACATACAAAAGGATAAAAATTGTCAGTTACCTACCTTCATCCCAATGAATAACTTGTGGGTAGTAAATGGTTCAAAATTACAGTTTGAAATAATTATCTAAATAATACTAAAGCAATACAACAAATAAACAAAAAACAAAACATTATGGCTTTTGATCTCTTTCTACTATGGTAACATAATAAACTATATAACTAAGTGACATTATTTTTGTATAAAGAGATGAGCTATTGTTATAAAAAATATTACATTTATATACAGCACACTTTACACACATGTTATATATACAGCTTGTCATGAAAAAATGTCTAGCCTTAGGAGAATAATAACAAATTCAAAACAAAACTTTATTACAATTTTTCTTTTACTTAATTTAATGTTTGTCAAAATTTAATATCTTCAGATACAAGAACACTCTAAAACTTGACATTATAAGTAGTCACAATACACTATATGACCAGGTTACAATAACAGGATAGCTTGTGTAAGAAACACAAAGTGAAGTTAAAACGTACAACTTTATATATATATTTTAAAATTTACATTAATGTAAAGTTGGTTTTGAAGTAAAACAGAGCAATTAATTCAGTTTGCATACATTATTTTATTATATAACTATCTGTAAGTTTCATTTCAGCCATAACCAACTGGAAAATTAATGTAGAGGAGTGAAATGTTTACAAAACAATCCCACTTTTTAATTCTTCTTAACTAACTGATATAGATTATCAATAGTTGATATTAGTATCTATTTCTAATTTACTTATACTAAACTAATAGGAAATAAAAACCAATACAACTTTCAAATGCATAATACCACCAACCCTTTATAACTGTTTGTCAACAAATATGATAATAAGCACAAGTGCTTTCTGATATATCAAAAAAAAAGACTTCAAGTTTTTAAGAACAGTGCAATTTACTATAGCCTAACTTCCAAGATTTGAAAATCAAGAACAATTATTTCCAAAATCTCAGGGTTACATAAGTCATATGAAGATATTTGTCTATATGGTAATAGGGTCCAGTACTAAGCCTGAGGTATCAACTTGAAAACTTATATCACCTATAAATTCAATTACTACTGTTGTTTTATTTAGTACAAAGCTACACAATGTGTCATCTGCACTCTGTCCACACCTGGGAATCAAACCCTGGATTTTAACATTGCAAGAGTCATCACACTTACGGACACATTGGAGGATTAATTTAATCACACTTAAAATATTTCAGGATTTAGCTTTAGCTATGAACTATTTCTAGTTATTTATATAAGCATGGAAGTGAAATCATAAAACCAGAAGAAAAATTCCAAAAACATTAACCAATAAACTATTCTTCATTTTATAATAGCAATTACTTCACGCCCATAGACCTAGAAATAAATTGTTTGTTTTCTTAAATCTAAACAAGAGTTTAGAACTTTGTTTTTCTTTCAGAAAAACTCTACATTTTTATAAACCTACAATCTCAATTTACTCCCATCATAAAATAGGACCTGTGGTACAGTATAAAAACCAAAATGTCTCATTTACTCCACATTTATTCAAATATCTAAACTTTATACTAAAACAGTTAAATTTGATTGCATATTTAAGTTACATACTTTCATGTATAACACCCTTCAACAGGAAAACATTTGTGCTGGGGGTTTAATATTAACTTTTCCTACCTGTTTATTTTTACATTGTTTTAAGTTTCACTAAACCCTGAAGTACAGGCAGATAAAAAGGATGTGGTTAAGGTATAAAAGTACTAAGAATACAAAACAATAACAAGCACTAATGTCTATGAATTGCAAGCATGTGAAAAACTTTCCTACACACAATTGAGGACTTTATTATAAATCAGGAATCAACAATAACCATTTTCTACACTGTATTTGTTACTGTCAGATGACAGTTATTGATGCTTAAAGCAGAACTCATCATAAAGTCTCCCTAACACCATTAAAAGATTTGTTGAAAGGCAGGATACTTCCATAATCATTTGTAATTTTAAAAAATAAAACAGAATCCTACATCCACATTACAAGCTCAACAATTGAACTTATCAAAAAGTTTCATATCAGTGCACAAGACTAATGAACAATGAGCAAGACTGATTTTATTTACACATTAAAAGTTAAATTAACATGATTTTTTATTTGTAACATGAAATATTTTTCTACATATGGTCTATTTCTGGTGTGCAAAAGGACTATTGTTAAAAAGCAATATTATGCCTTACATTTTCCAATGATAATGCACTAATTGTTTTACAAAACTCATACTAAATTATTTTTATGTAAGCCCATTTATAATCTCTCAGTGTTTAATGAAACCTAATTGCCAAATGACCTAAGTCATAATTCTAACATTCAGATGTGATCAAAGAGGTATTTGAAATTAAATTGACAATTCAAAGAGATACTTTTAGAACTTCACAATAAAAATGCACAGTTTCATAAACATTTACATTTCACTTATAGAAAACACAACAAATATTAAACCAAGCAAGCAATAACTATTTTAACTGATAAAAAAAGTACCTAATACAATGGGCTACTTTCGTGCAGAACACAACTTTGATATCATACATGTACAAATAACAATGGTCATTCTTATGTTTAAAATACACTTACAGTTTAGAGTAATCAAACACAGAAAATATTAGTGTATTTTCTCAGGCCCTAAGTGAGAATGATCATATGTTCAAACAGCCTAGTCATGTTTTCACAAGAATAGTTGAAAGAAGATTTATTTCTCATACTTTCAGTCCTATCCTCTCAGCTTTTTTTATTTCAAATTGTTCAGGATCAAAAGTGATAAGTAATCATAATTATTCATTTTATGGGTATAAGAATTCTTGGTGACAAAAATGGAAGCTGCGTTAATTTATAATAATAATATATA